ATGCTTTTCTCTTTTTACTATCAGAACCCCATAATGCCTCAGAACCCCATAATGCCTCAGTTGGTTCTTTATATGTAATGGGTACAAATAACTCTTATAAATAACAGTGTAATATTCAGTTATGCAGTACTAGTAACCAAAAAACTCTGATTTTATTTCTTGTTCAGGGAAACTCTTTTATTTATCCAAGTTACTTGTTGGCACACATGAATGAGAAGTTAATATTCCTTTCAAAGAACAAAAAAATTTAAAGTAAACCAAAAAGTGACTGAACTGAATTTGGAAGGATTTCACCCTGACAGGATGATAAACATTCCCAGGAACCTGGTTCTACATAGGTACAGGAACTTTACAGCCATTCTGACATACATTCAACAATGTAAGTGTAAAAACCTCTGTAAAAACAAAGGTCAGAGGAAAATTTTGTATATATCTGCCCCTCGAATTCCCCAAATATTTTTACCTCTTTTATGCCGTTGTCTTATCTTTTTCTGGCAGTTATTTTTGTTGTTGTTTCTGGTTGTATTTGGTTATTGTCACTGAAGCATGTCACATTTATTTTCCAGAGCAGAATTTTCAGCCCAGGATAATGTATGCAACCTATATGTAGGCCTTCTGATACTGGTTCTTGCTTTGGTTTTTGGTTTTTATTTTCTTACTTCCACAATGGTTTCTTTACAAGATTATGCTTCAAAACATGCTGCAATGTCACTTTTAGAAATATATCATCCTGTTTTCATTTATAAGGGTGCATGAGCTCAATACAACATTCTTCATTCTTCCATTCTGGAAGAACTAAAAAGCCAGTGCTTTTGGTTTCACAGAGTTTTTGTTTGCTTTCACAGAGGTTTATGTAAAACATTCCTTCAAGTCTAATCTGAAGGAGAGTGATATCTTTGAATTTTATTGTTCCCAAGCACATAAAGGATCTGACCCTTGTGAAATTCTATCTGAACTTGAGTTTAATCTGAATTTGCATCACCTCTATCCAGACTCCTTTTCTTTTTCTTTCCAGATATAATAGTACAAATTTTAAACGAAGTGAAATTCAACTCGCATTCAACCTAACATCAGTGCAGTGATCTGAAATGTTTGGGAAGCTCTTAGAATGATGAAACAAGCACAGCTTCACTTATACCTGTAAGCTGCAAGGTAACTTGGATACCAAGTAAAACAAGTTCACATTGCTTTTTTATTAAACCCACCCAAGAATGTGATTATGGACATGTTCTAAGGGCCCAGAATTCTTGCTGATGTCAGTGGAATTGGTTAATTTACATTGTTTAACAATCTGGCCCTCTGGCATTTTCTATCAAATACGGCTAGAGTAACAGCTGAGTAGCTACACACAACCTAATAGGTAGTGGATGTATGCAAAACAGTTGTACATTTTGTAATTTGAAAGTAAGAAACAAATTTTCCAGATAAGACTTAGTTTTTCATCTAGCACCAAAAGCACCTTCACCTGAAATTTAGATGCTGAAAATACTGAACTGTAATTTTCCTTAATACACAGAACTATTGCAGGCTGCACACACACAGACCTACCCAGCACTTGTGTCATGGCAAATCCCCTGGAGTGCTCATCAACAAGTGTTTCCCTCATCACCCAGGAACATGCTGAATTTCTCCTGCTGCACTGGCTCTGCTTGCAAAGACTGATTCAATTTTAAATAAATGAGGAATCCCAGCTCAGGGAGATAGCATCTCTCTCTCTTCACAGTAGTGGTAGAAACCAAAATCCCCTCAAGCTCTCAGACAGCTTGGAGCGACACTGATGATCTCTCCAAGTGAGTTCAGAGAAGGGTCAGGATTATGGTTAGGATAAGAGGTTTGGATCACCTCTCCTACGAAGGCAGGCTGAGAGAGCTGGGGTTGTTCAGCCTGGAGAAGAGAAGGCATCAGGGAGACCTTATGGCAGCCTTCCATTACCTAAATGTAGCCTAGAAGAGAGCTGGAGAGGGACTTTTTACAAGGTTAGGTAGTGATAGGAGAAGGGGAAATGACTTCAGACTGAAAAAGGTCAGGTTTACATTAGATATTAGGAAGGAATTCTTGACTGTGAGGATGGAGACAGTACAACAGGTTGCCCAGAGAAGCTGCGGATGCACCACCCCTGGTAGTGTTCAAGGCCAGGTTGGATGGGCAACCTGGTCTAACAGAAGGTGTCATTCTTGATTCTTCAATTCATCAGACTTTTCTGTTCATTTCTTTGTTTGGAGCAGGGAGGGGTTGGCCAGCTTTCACAGCTGTGCACCCTGAACACCCAGAGACACCTTTCCCTCCATCATTTCTGAGTAAGGCATTACTAAGTAAACCCTTCGTTTCCTTTCTGCTGGGCAGGTTCAACAGCTCCCTAAAATCAACATGCTGGTTTTTACAAGCCCCAGTCTTAGCCCTTTAAGACATATTTACAAATCCAGACAGTGCTATTCAAGCCAACACAAGTATCAGAAAGGCTATGGCTGTGTTAGCACAGCACCCGCTGATGGCTCAGCTGGGCTGTGTGTGCCCGGGGAGGTTGTTGTTCTACCACAGCCAAGCTCCCTCTGGTGCTCCATCCAGCCATCCAAGCAATGCAAACTGGCTCTCCCTCTGCATCATCCCTGCATCACAGCTCTAAGCCCACTTGAGGATCTAATCTTAGTTTTTCCATGGCTAGAACAGGCTTATTTGCCTCCAGACAAGGCAACAAGATAACCGGAGCTTTTGTTCTTTTTTGGGGATCCCAATCCAGCCATAAACATCTTTCTCATACTCCTATTGCCCCCTAAAATTCGTTCCATGTGTGTGCTGAAGCTCTTTGTCTCTGCTTCCACAATCACACCAAAATAATGTGGTCATTTCCCAAATGCCAGCCACCGCCATCTTCTCAGTAGGAAAAAAGGATCTTTGATCTGAGCTATTTAATTCATCCTGCGCTACACCTACTACTACTGTTAAAAAACATAACACATTGGAGGTAGATTGTGCTATATTTCATGCACATTCATTGCTGGCGCTAAGGGACATACCCATCTGTTATTTGCTCTCAGCTTTGCTTACTGATAAAACAGGAAAGACAGCTTGCTGATGAGCTCTTTGAAGCAAAAGGCTCCTCTCTTTTTTACAATTAAAGTCTATAAATCATTTTTTCAGTAGACAGTATGCAGCCTACCTCAAATCAAAATTACTTCTACTAAATTAAAACTAAATACTCTGTACATTTTTTATTTTATCATGTGACTTTGAGTGATGAAATCTTACAGCAGCACGACTTTCTTTAAATTATATTGGACTTTTTCCCAGCACAATCTGCCTTTCTGTTACCTGGATTTCAAACACATGCTCTAGTATGTTTTTCAGCTATGTGGTCACATAAAAATATGTGAGGGGGTTAGTGCAGGAGAGCACAGCTGTCTGTAGGACGGAGGCTTTGACAGATACTGTCCTTTCAGGGGTCCTCTCTGCTCATCATGGCCATCACAGATTCCAAGAACTTCCCAGTACTGAAGGCAGACATGCCAGGAATGTGTCACGACCCACCAGCAGGGGACGTGATGTTTGTTATAAATTCTCTCCAGGCTGAACAAAGACACCAGACACGTCAGGAACTCTTATGTTTTACTGTACAGCACTTCAAGTTCTCAACTCCCACCACAAACTCCTCAAAGGTGCTGGCACACAAGCCACAGCACACCTCCACAATCTCCCCCCTCCCAAAACAGTGTTCCATACAGAGTACAAAGAATATGATACCAGTGCTTTGGCCAGACAAAGCAAGGGAAGAAGACAAACAATCTCACCAGTCCTTAGATCCCACATTTGTCCTGCCATATGGATGGTCCATAGCTGGTGTTGCAAGACAAAGAAAGCTAAGAGACAAAGAGGAAAGGAGAGGAGAAAGAGAGGAAAAGAGGGAGCAAGGGGGCCCAATCCGTGTCCTTTTATAGTTAACCTGGTGCACACCTCTTGTGTAAATTATACTGTCACCACTTTGTTCACACCTGCACAGCCAGCCCTTCTCCAGGAAGCAGGGGAGGAAAAGTGGGGAGGTGGAACTGAGCACAAGTCTCACCGCAGAGCAGGAAGTCGGCTCAGAACTGCACTCTCCCACCTCTGTGTCTCCAATCACATCTTCCTGTCATAACAGTAAGAACATTTGAGACAAAACATGCTTAGATCTGGTCTTCTACAGAGTGACCTTAGCCGTGTGACCTCAGAGTGACTCCTCCAGCGCTTACTCCATCTTTAGAGCTATAGGAAGTCATCCACCACTCATGCTCTCTCAACACATCCAGGGCTACTGGGACAGAGAAGGTCCTGTCTGGCTAGGCCCTTTCAGGGGCCTTGGCTCTTGTCATGAGGACCAGACACTTTTATCAGTTCATTCCTAGGCATCCTGCTTTCCCATGCCATGACCTTTTTTCCTCCAATGCATGACCTTTCCCATGGCAAATTTCTGTGCATATCTCTGCTGTGCAGAGAACAAACATAAAGGTGTAAAATTTATGCCCAGAATACACCTCAGGAAAACAACAACAACAAACACCATAAAAAACACTCTTGTTTTTGTTCTCCTTTCACTCTGCACATGCTCAGACACCTCTGTTACCTCACACTTTTTCAAAAAGGGAATATCCAAAGATTTCAGCATCTAAACAGGGATGGATGGCTTTCATATCCAGGAACTCATCATCAGGGATAAAGCACAGCTTTTGTATGGTTGAATTGTGTTTCCAGTGGAGAATCAGTTCCTGCTTTTTCTCACTCAGAGCAATCACCACTTTGCCAACCCCCATCAATCAGCGCATCAGTTTAGATTTAATCCCAAAAATATTAAAAGTCCCCCTTGAAAGTTTCCAGTTTTGCCAAACAGACACATAACCTGGCAGCAACCCATCTAACACATGGTAGCTGTACCACCTTTCATGCCCTGTCAGTGGGCCTCTGGCCAGGCACTGGGGTCCTCTTCACTCAGCACAGGAACACTTGGCAGTGACATCTCTGAGGAACAGGAACTACTCAATGGAAAGGGACACCAGTGACAGATGATATACACTTTCTCTTGATATATATGTCAAAGCAACACTTAAAGCTTTTTGATGGAAAGTTAATTTTCTGACAATACGATGCCTGCTGGTATTATACAGCCAGGAATGATTCACAGTCAATGAGTTCTGAGCTTTCCAGATTTAGATGCATTATCCAATGACGTGCAACAGCAGCATCCTCTGTGTGCTTCTCACAATACCTGAAAACAAGCCATTGTTCTGGTAAGGTAATTTCTACTACTTGAACCAATTAAACCTCTTAAAGAGAAAACAATAGGTCACCCACTAGCACAGAAAATTCAACAATCTACAAAATGGGAGCAAAATTTGAGGAGGAGTGTTGACTGGCAAATTCCTACTGCTCTGGGAGGTTGGAGGTCTTAGTGAGTTGAGTCACTGTGCCACAGGCAACACCTTAAAATATCCTAGGAGAACACTCAGGGAAGAACATCAAAACTCCCTGTTTGTATTGCTATTCTACCTTTCCTATACCAACAAGCCTTCAGAGAAGGCTGATGAGTGCTGTGTTACTAGCATGGTTTAACCCCAGCCAGCAACTAAGTACTGCACAGATGCTCACTCACTCCCTCTTCCCCACTATAGGATAGGGAAGAGAATCTGAAAAAGAGTAAAAAAACTCATGGAGTTGAGCTAAGAACAGTTTAATATTTAAAACTAAACAAATATAATAAATAATAATAACAACAAAAACAATAATAGTAATGAGGGGGGGAAAGAAGAGAAATGAGTAAAACCCAGGGCAGACAATTGCTCATCCCAACACAATTGCTGACCAGTACCCAGCCCATTCACAAATAGTGATTGGCCTCTTTCTGGGTAACTCTCTCCATTTATATACTGGGCATGACATTCCTTGGGATGACACATCCCTTTGGCCTGTTCAATTCAGCTGTCCCAGCCATGCTCCCTCCCAGCTTCTTCTGCACCTACCTCCTTGTTGGCAAAGCACGGGACACTGAAAAGTCTTTGACTTAGGGCAAGCACTACTGAGCGACAACCAAAACATCAGTGTGTTATCTGTGTTATTCTCATACTAAATCCTAACCACAGCACTGTAGCAGCTGTTAAGATGAACCCAAACTCTATCCCAGCCAGAACCAGGACACTTACTAACACTAGGTGAGTGTTTTGAGATTCTAGAAGGGAAGTGCAAGTCTCACAAGCAGTGAGAGGTTTGGGCCACAGAAGGTTGGCCACCAGAGAAGCTGAGCAAGCACAGCCCCTAGCACAAGCCAGGCAGCTGCAGTCTACCACTGAGCTCTACTGTACCTCATGGAGGGGCAGGCATCACAGCTGCAGTGCACAGGTCCACCTGGTTGATGTTTAAAAAGTTTATTTAAGTTGGAAAGCAACGGAAAGCAAATGTCATGCCAAGTTCAATCGCCCCCTTGTGTGCCTCTGGCTATAGCACTTGTTCTGCCTGAAACACACTGTACCAGCTGGGCTCAGCTGGACTTTGGGGGATACACTGGTATGTACAAAGTCAGGGTAACCTCACAGTGCAAAAATCTCAACTGTGTAACTGCTTTGCTTGCAGCAATCACTGTTATCTCATCTGTAAGCATATCTGTCATTGTTGCAGCTGAACACAATTACATAGCAATTTGTCTACACTTTGAAAAAAATGTGTAGTTTGCAACGGTGTGACCTCACTGTCCCGGAGTGCCTTGGCTCCATTGTTCTCCTCCACAGAGCATGTCTGACACATGTTTGGGCTCTTTTATTTCCTCTTGAGCAGAACAAAAAGAGCATATAACAAAATCTCTGCCAGTCCTGAGGACCTTACTCTACTCAGGCAAACTTGCTATCAGAACTCAACTGGTATTGCCTCTGTTCAGAGGGACAGGTCTGTTTTTTCCTTAGGCACTGACTTTCACCTGGGAGCACTGGAAGAACAGCATGGATACGCATGATCATCACAAAGACTGTCACCATTGACCAGGAGGTCTCCTTTCCTGCTCCAGGCAGTAGAGAGCATCCTCTGGAGCCTGTTGTTGTCCACAGTACACAGCTCCTCTCCCTGGAGGCAGGAAGGGCCTCTCTTGCAGTCCTGCAGCATTTCCAAGGCACTAGAACAGAAAAAGGGTGTCAGGTCATGAAACCTTCTGTCATGTGGGAAGGGAAACCTCCTCTGCCCTTTCCCTTGTTTAAGAAAGTTAAAGAGGGGAAAGAAGGAAAGTCACACACAATAGAAGTGAAAAAATGTTGATAAATGTAGACAGGAATACCTATGCTTGTGCCTTATTTATGATAGATTAACAAACAGTTTTCATCTCTGGTCATCTAATACATCAAATGTTGAAATATACCTATATGCATGTCTACATACACATATGTATATAATGTGGTATCATTAGTTACATTTTTAGCCTGGTTTTATGCCAAGAGCCCTCTAGGAGAAACACTAGGCATTTTATGGGTAGTCTGAACTTTTAATTTCTACCTTTAAAACAAGGTCTATGGATTATTTATCCATTCTCTTCAAGTGTGAACACATTCTGTCATTCATTATTGTACAAACTTCCTTAGGGACTATATAATGCAATTAGACTCCCTTCTGTCACCTTCCTTCCAGGCCTGGAGATACTGTACTATCCAATCTTCTCATACATAACACATTCATTTAATTCCCTGCGGTAAACTCACTTCTTGCCCTTCTGTGCACTTCTTACAATATTTAAATAACATCTTCAAACTATTGTTATGAGACTAGCCCACAAAGCAGCACACAGAAATTAGTCCAGTTTTTGGAACTGCTGTAGAGATGGCTTTTCTTTGACTCATAATATTGTTTTTCTTGGTCTTCCGGCAGCTCAGTCCTTTGAGAAAAGGAGCCTTAAAAGCGAGCCATTTCTAAAAGGGAGCTACAGCTTGCTGCTTTCTCTGGTGGATTTCAGTCATTTTCAGGGCTGTACAGAGTATCCTGGGTTATATGATTTCCTTTTGCTCAAGCGTGTCAACAGCATCTCAGCTCTGTTCTGGTAGTGTTACGCTCAGCATACAAACAGTGCAAGCAATGAATTTCAAAACAGATATGCTGGGAGCTAAAGAGAATGCTCTTAGTATTCAAAGCGTTGTCACAGAGTGCTAAAACGTTGAATACCTACCAGAAAGAATGAAACATCTGCTTAGGAATGGAAGATTATAATTTGTAACAGCAAGACTTTCTGTTGGGGAAAAAAAAACAATCAACAAACCAAACCAAACAAAAAAACAACCAAACAAAAAAACCAAAACAAAAAAACAAACCTGAGGGAACAAAATATCAATCCCTCATCAAGCAACCCTCTGGAGAAATCAGCTATCTCCTTACAAGAGATACTACTTAGCAGTGAAGCATTCTCCACTTTTCTTTCTCAAATTAATTCTGTGCTGTGATTACCTTATGCTTCTTACACTTGCCAGTGCCTAACTATATTTAGTCTGCTTCCAAACCCTGTCAAGTTTACCTATTTTCCCTATTGTTAAATAGACTAGTCTGTGCAGTTTCTTTCCTCTGCACAATAATGAGTAGACTGGTGTGTGTCACTCCAGTACTGTCATTAACAGCAGATTGGAACGAGGCCATGCCTTGCTGGAGCAAAGCCAGATCAGGGAAGTGTCTTAATAAATGCCAGTGCTTGTTTGAGAGAATTCCCCAAGCAAAGCAAGCCAGAAAAAATCCAGCAAAGTAAGTTTTTATTGATTTGGTTTCTCAAACATAGAATATTAATTTTTATTAATTTTTATTAGCTTTATTAATTTAAGATTAATTTCTTTAAACATCATGATTTTGGTGAGAGGGGTTTTGAGAAGTATGAGTGGTTTCCAGCCAGATGGAGTAATCCTCAGGAATGTAGGGTCTGTCCTGAAAACACCTTTGTTGTTGAGAGCCCAGAAATTACTAAATGATTCATAGCCTAGGACCAGATCCCACTTGCAGGATGCCACATGTAAGGGAATCCATGAACTTCTCAAGAAGTTTTCTTTTTCTGTAGTTTTTTTGGGGGGGGAAAGTGTCCCTAGTTTTTTTCATCAGAAGTTTAACATACATCTTCTTTTTTTTTTTCCATAAATAAATAAATGAATAAATATCTCCAAAGCTCCAGGGTTTCTGAATATCTCAAGACTATGAAAAGAACTCTCTGCTTTCTACTTGCCCTTCTCTACAATATTGACTTCTTTAGAGAGCTCATAGTAAGTAGGAAATGTAGGTCTACACAATGCTACGCTCAGGGTGAGCATGTCCTTTAAAATTAGATTGCTTTTGTTTCCCTACAAGTAGAGGAAAACCACAGTAATAATTGTGCAATGTCACCTGCTCTTATGTATTTCTCACATTTGTTTCTCTTTTGATGGAATACACTGTATTTCAAATTTTCCACTGGAGTCATCAGCAACACTGGACAGTCTCATAAAATGTGAATTAGGGACCTTGAAGAGCAAGCTTGGATTTAATGGTGGGTTTAATGGTCTAGCTAGTGTGGTTCTCTGAATAACCTGAGTGTCATTAAAACTCGCCTGGGTGAAACGACACGAAGATCCAAACCAGATGAATCGGCACCACACCTGCAAAATGTTGAACTCCGGTCCTCAACTAGTGTAGTGTAGGGCAACTGTAGGGAAGACGTATGAGGCAATTCTTCTATAGTAATTTGGATGACATACTCTCTCCCTCAGAAATAACTTAGGCATTCTTCTGTCCAAGCCCCCAGTACGTTCTGCTGAGTCAGCATTTAGCTGGCTCTTGATTTCAATGCTATAAATCTTTAACAACTGGTGATAAAATATATACTTTTTCTTGCTGAGGAGCACCAGAAGTTTAAGTTCTACATTTCTCTATGCCTGGTCATTACAGTAGTGCCTTGAGACAAAAGTAATTCATTGTTCCTCATCAAAACTTTTCCATAAAAAAATTCACCATTTATATACACAAACATACATGCGTCTCTGTTCAAAAAAAAAAAAAGCTTTTAAACAAACCAAAAATTCAAGAGATGTGAAAATCTGCGTTATACTGTGGTGAGAGGGGTCGTGCTGACAGGCATATTTACAAATAAAACTATGGTCTCTTTCGGTTTTAAGATCCAAACTCTCCCTAACTATTCCATGAGCAGTAGCACCTTTTTAAGACAACTAAGGAATCACTTAGGTTGTAAAAGACCTCTAAAACCATTGAGTTCAACCATTAACCCACTACTGATGTTTTCAAGTTTGTTTTTAACCGTCACATCTATACATCCTTTAAATACCTCCAGAGATGGTGACTCAACCACTTTCCTGGGCAGCCTGTTCCAATACTTGACAACCCTTTCAATGAAGAATTTTTTCCTAATATCCAACCTAAACCTGCCCTGGTGCAACTTGAGGCCATTTCCTCTTGTCCTATTGCGTGTTATGTGGGAGAAGGTGAGGAGGATCACCAAACGGACTGGGAACGATTCAAAGCCTGGCCAGACCTATATGGGGCCTGAAAGGACTTCAAATCCACGGACTTTCCTGTTATTTCCCCAGTTTTATACCACATTTTAATGTACCCCCATGTTAAGCCCTATGGTTTATACTGTTCAGGGCTTGCCTGGACTTGCCCTCAGATTTTTCCCTCCAAAAGTTGTTTACTCCCTTATCCTCTCCTGGTTTTCCCGCTCATCTCTCACTGATTGGCTGGTGGTTGCCACAGTGCAGAGTGAGCTCCCATCGGTCCTTTCCCCTGGATACTCCAAAGTTCCACCCATCTTTTCCCTCTCCCCCAATCCTATTCTGCCCCGAGTTGTCAATCCTATGCTCCACCCCAGTTATTGAACCTCCCCTTACCCAAACCCTATTTAAGTCTGTGTCTCTCCTAATAAACTGGCATTGCACCTTGACCTTCTGCTGTGTCAGAACCCTTTTGTGCAATGTCACGTCCCCATCCCCTTTCCCTTGCGGGCCGTGGCAAGAAGGTTGCTCATACATACCAAATTCTAAAAATAAATTTTTATTTTTCTATTATCCTGAGTCTGATAGGAGCTTTAGTTGCTATTTCTGACATTTTAATCCTCTTATTTGCTGGCTGCGTGCGTGTTGGCATGCCATGCAGCAGGAGAGGTTTGCTTTCTCTTTGAGCACTGCAAACACTGCCTAAATGTTCAGGGACCTTAAGTGGTAATAATGTCTAGCATCCCCAGCTCCCTGTCCTGCTAACACACTCAGTATCAGCCTTTAAGCCAGATTCCAGGCTGGACCTAACAACCTATAGAGGTCCCTTTCAAACCTTTTTTTTTTTTTATGTGATTCTGGTATGTAAATATAAAAGCCCTACAAAGAAATGGAGCAACATAGGAATAAACAGGCAGTGGTATAAAGAAAAGGAAGAAACCAGGGCAGTGTTAATTCTGAGATGAATTTCTCTGCCACTTGAGATGGTTTATTATTTCATAAACATCACTAGGGAAATGTCCAGTTCCTGAGGCTCAGTTATAAAATGCACTGACACTGAAAGTCAAGTCCTCTAGAACAACATCCTTCCCCCTTGTGAAAGACTGGACTGTTAATGGTTAATGATCCAAGCAATCAACCACCACTTGCAGTAACTACCCAAGTGGGTGTTTGAACCCATCACTGGAGGCTACAGCTGGGGATTGAACAAGATAAGGGAAGAGGCTCATAAGAGGCAAATCCTTCAAAGTGGGATAAGTGCTTTTTATCATGCCTAAGTCCTTACACAAGTGGCTCAGCTGTGAAAACTCCCCTCCAGAGAAGTACCTGGACATTCACATGTAGCCTGAAGATATTCATCCATCAAAGACTCCCAAAGTGTCCAGTGATCCAAAGTATTACATCATCCAGTGCAAAACTCCCCATCCTAGAGGAGGTACTTGGGCATTCCCACCTGAACCTGAGCATATATAACTCGTGGAATTTTGTGTTTCATGGGCTTCCCCTACTACCTGACAGATCAAGAGTGTGACCATCATCTTGACAAGACTGGGACCCTCATCACCAAGATCACAAGAAGAGGACCAACAGGATGCTGTTGGAATCCACAGAGTGGGGATATTTTTCTACTTAATCTGTTTCTCTGTCACTCTCTTTCTCTCCCCCCGCTCTTTTTCCTATTTCTTTCTATCTCTCTCTACCTCACATTTATTGTTAATAAAAATCCATACTATTGACTTGGGCATACGGTGTCGTTTGCACCTTAATTCGGGAGAGACATCTCCCTAATAATTTTAATAACCAGATTATAACACACCTCTCACAAAATATGCTCAGAGTTTTTATGGCATTTCACAGAAGGACAGCCAGCCCTGAGAGAACTGATTAATGTCACTCTCTGTTCAACAGGGTAGGTTAAAAGCTGGAATGAGGGCATCTAGCCTAGCAATACCAGCTATAATAGTAAGATGACTAATGAGATGAGTAATGAAGGATAACATGTCTTAAAATTCCACCTTTCCCAGAGATGAAAGGTTGACAGAGATAGTTGCATTTATACACTAATTTCTCCCATACAGGGACCAGATGGCTTTTAGACTTTATTTCATTGATTTCCTCTTTTTTTTTTTTAGGGTTTTTTAATTGACTTCCAGCAAGAGAACTCTCCTTTCATAGCAGCCACATGACTTATCTTTGCATAGTCCTACAACATTTCTTTCTTCCCTTTCACTTTCTTAATCTGTACACTTTTTTTGATAACTAGAAAGCCAGTTTTCCAAAGTTTAACTCTAGCAGCAGTGAAAGACAGAAACATTCTTTTGCTAACTTGGTTTGTCACTTATGTTAAACCCTTGCTCTGTCCAATATCACGTGTCTGAATCACACCTGGAAAAGCACTTAAGCCCATACTTATTAATAAGAGGCAGAAGTGGTTTTCTAACTTGGAATGCACTACTCAGCTGGGGACTGCATTTGCAAATTGCACATTTATCAGTGAATCTAAGTATTTTAGGAGGAACTGTCTGAACAGCACCCATGTGGTGCAGAAATTGTCATAGTACCGGAAAGGAAAGATACGGCAGGGTAATGATAATCACTATTATTAGTATTTTAATCAATGGAAATTATGAGTAACTAGTAATAATGTACCCCAGTGTTTTGATTTGAAAGGGTTTTTTTCCTGACATTAGGTGTTTGACAAAAGTTTGCACTATAAAGGGCAATATTTCAAGAAGGAAGGCAGGCTTAATACATGTTTCAAAGAGCTCTAAACATCAGTTATTTCAACAGGTCAGGCTCATCTAAGTATGATTTTGCTAGGTGTTGCGAGGTGGCATTGCTAGATCCCATGCCAGGAGGTCTCCTGCTCCCTGTTGAATCCATGACCAGTCCTTGCAGCAGTATTGATCGCACTCAGGTCTGCCACTAGGAGTCTCTCCAAGTGGAATTATAGCATTGGAAAAGCGAGATATTTCAGAGTCTTCTTTAGACTTTTCATCTACTGTGGTGAATAAGCAACTTTCAAGGAATTTAGCATCTCTGTCAGTGCCAGGCTCTCCTGTAAAAGAGAGGTTTCCGTATGCTGTTTTACAAGCCTTGCAGCAAAGATTGTAGCAACAAACAAGCTTGTTCCACAAGGAAACTCTGGCTTTTATATCCCCAGCTTCCCTCGGTTGAGAAGACAGCTTGCAAGACTGTAACATCTGCTGTCTTTAGAAACAGGACAATGATATTAACTCAACCATGTTGCATGGGCAAGGATACTCGCATCCATGGAAATGTTGAGATGGACCATAGCGAGTCAGCTGCCGAGTCACTTAGAAACTTTTGAGAGCCTTGCACATTGGGTCAGATACTCCTCTCCCCCCAGTCTTGTTTTGCTACCGTGGAAACCATGACAAATATGATCACGGTTTTTAATTCACAAAATGAGACAGTGTGTGGAGGGTTCCAGTTGCCTTTGCTAGGTGACTCAGAGTCTTCAGATCTCTGAACAAGAGGTCGTCTCTCAGTTTGGAAGAGTTTTTAATGTTTTCAATTTATTACTCTGAATTACTTTCAGTTGAATGACAGATACTCAGTTTAATGACAGATACTCAGTTTAATGACTTGAATTTATAGGCCTTCTGTTAATAACTCCCTCTGACTATGGAGTGCGAATGACAATGGTAAAGACACAGAGTAGTCTTATAGCAAAATAGCTTTTGAAAAATTGAAGTTGAATTTATGCTAATATAGCTATAAATAAAAGGGACTAGTCTATGACATCTTTACAGAGGAAAAATACCACAGCAAAGGTACTTCCTATGGCCTTTCTCCCACCTCTTTTTGTGATTATTCAAGGACTTCAACTTCATGCACTTCAGAGAAGTGCAGAGATGCCCAGTTGCCATGTCAGTATTGAAAAATGGTTTGAATTCACCATGAATGTAGTCTCTTTCTTGCCTGCACAATTTCTTTCCATTGGTATTGGTGGCCATGAGAGGCACAGTCCTGCTCCATGCACTGCCAGTGGGAAATGGGGACTACATACCTCATATGAGTGGAAGACGTGAACCCTCATGGGGACCAAGACCACATCTCTATTCCACACCTCCAGGAGCTATTTCTGTTTTCACTGGTGTAAGGTAGACTAAAAAGCACTGGTAGATACTTTAGAGAAAGGGAGTTTTCTCACAGTCCTTCCCTCCCTATTCCCCTCCACTTATGGGCATTGGCTAACATATCTGATAAATATACTAGAACAGTTTGGGTTGGAAGGGACCTTCTAAAGGTCATCTAGTCCAACTCCCCTGCAATGAGTAGGGACTCCTTCAGGATCAGCTTGCCCAGAGCCCAGTCCAGCCAGGCCTTGAATGGTTGCAGGGATGAGGCCTCTACCACGTCTCTGGGCAACTTATCGAGTGTTTCATTACTCTTAAAAAAATTTTCTTCCTTATACCTAATCTAAACAGAATCTGTTTTAATTTAACAGTTTTAAAAAGCATAAAGTTGCTGTAACCATGCCACTAAATCCTGGTCACAGGTGATACCCTTCATTTATGAAGAAAACTAATCAAACCTTCAGAACAACTACAACAGTTCTCTTTATTCTGGAGGAACTCTTCAAAGTCTGTCCCATCTTTCTTATAGGTCCTCTTTAAGCTTTTTTAAACTGAAATGTTACAATAAGGTTTCCCAAGAACCTTCTCTTCTCCAGGCCTGAACAACCCAAACTCTCTCAGCCTTTCCTCACAAGAGAGGTGCTCCCTCCCTCTGACTATTTTTGTGTAGAAAGAAGAAAGCAACCTCCTTATTAACAACTACTTTATTGCAGTTGACATTTATCCAGTGCTTAGACCTCACACCTATCTGTCTCTGCTTCAGCACTGTTCACCTTCTTTTGGAGAGAAAACCTTTCCCTTGTACTACCCTTTCCAACTTGCAGATGGAGCTTTGACTGCAGCTGAACTTAGGAAAGTCTCTGTTACCCATTAACTTGTTCTTTCCATAGCAATATTGCAGTTCAACCATCAAAGTCTGACCCAGCTACAACATCAGGAACTGAAGAACCAAGAGGGCAAATCCAAAACACCATAGATGCACCTCTGCTACATAAATATGTAGGTGTCTCTGTCTCCATGCATATGTGAGAGAGTGCATGCATCCCCTAGGTGCTAAATTACACTTTTTTCATAACTTCAGTCTGAGACAAATGAAATTGCCCCCCAAAAAATAATGAAAGTCAAATTGATCTTCTAAGTGGATCAATAGAAGCTTAACTGAAATAGATAAGGGAGTTTATCAGACCTGATGTAGTAAAACACTAATAAGATCACTTTCAATTCATACGTATAAGACTAAATTTTCAGCACAAATTGATCTCAAGGCCAAGGATGAATGGGAACCTTTAGTAACGGGTTAGGGCTGCAAAGCATTCTTTTTCTAACAAACAGTAGGTTTTCCTCTTTTCCTTACTGCTTGCATATTTTTAATTCTGCCTTTCTTCTGCACAAAGCAGTAGATTTCTCTTTGAAGTGCTTATTTGTTTCAGAAAACAAACAATCGGTCCATTGTCTGCACCGTTTTGCACCGTTTTGCACTGAATGGGACCTGAGAAAAGGAGTAAAAATCCCTTATGGCCTTGATTGTAGAAGTGTTCCTCTTGGGGCCCTTGTTGTTCCTGCTGCCTGCAGTGACCACATAAGGGGTTTAGATGAAGTGGAGTAGCCTCAGGAGAAGGGATAGAGAGAGCATGCAGCAGCATTGCAGAAGATACGAACTGGAGGCTCCCTCACTGGCACTGGCATATTTGGCACCTTCTCCTTTAAATTTTTGGGTTTGATGTTTTCTGCAAAAAAGAAAAAACCTATTTTCCCCTAACTCTATGTCTATAAAATCTGCAAAAGGCAGGTCACCTAATCTGCCCCAGTGACAGGCACGAACCCACCTTTTGGAGTGGGGCTGAATCATCCTTTTCTCTGCATTCTCCCTGGCTTGCAAGATGTTTTCCTCCCTCTGCACACTATCCTGGCTTCTTACCCAGGCATATGCTCTGCTAGTTGGAGGGATAATCTTGTTGGGTTTATCACTACTCCTTCAAAGAGTGGGATTTACCTCTTCTATTTTCAGGTGCCCTGAAGTTCTATATGTAGCTTATGTTCTTCTATAGCCTTAGGCTGCTCTCCATGGTCAGTGGGGAAAACCAGACTCCTCCAGAGGGAGCAAAGAGACAAACCACTGTGCTCAAAACACTGAGCTGTGTCAAAAAGCATATGCTGTGAAAGAAGGAAAGTCCAACTGTGCTGGAGAGACAAGAAAGTACAACTCCACCACAAGCAGAAGGCAGGCAGATAGAAATTCATCCCACATACACTGGAATAGCTCACATCACCTCCTGGAAGAACCAGTTTGTCTCCAGTGACTGCAGAGATCTTCAGTGCTTTCACTCACTAAATACTTCGTTTTCGGATGGTTAGAGGCAAGTGAAACGAATACAGCTTTGAGGATCCAACATCCACAGCTGTGAAGTTAGCTCTTAATCTGATAGTATTTTTTCCTGGAAGGCTGCTCATGCAGCTGGAATATAACTTTTTTGCTGCAGCTTGATCCATTTAAAAGAGGAAAAAAACCCTGCAAAACAAAGCACTTCCCTGGCCATTTATATACGTGTAAATAAATGTATTCAAAAAGGAGAGAGCCCTTGCACAGCTTTACCTTTCTCTATCTGACTCCTAAAATATAAAGAAATAAAACAAAAGGAATTGCCAGAAGAAATCTTCTTGTGCTATAGGACATGAGGGAAAAAAAAAAAGACACTACAGTATGTAGACAAAAAAAGCCCCCCGTGAGTTTTGACTATGTGAAATTTTGGTAATCTGAAGAGGTACTGTCTGTATCACTGCACAATAGATACTGGGTTTTGGTGTAAACCAGCCTGAAGCTGGTGTATCATCTGTGAAGTGATACCAATTATTTTGATATGGAGATATTCAGTTAGGAATTTAGTCTGCTCTGGGATTAGAGTTACCAAAAGGCTTTTGGCACCACAGAGGGAAGATGGCTGAATATTCATATCCCAAGGTATGACATTTAGAACAACAAATAGGAAAAACTGAGATGAAATTATAACACAGCAAAATAACAGGTCTTTCCTAATGTTTTTTTATAAAGCAATATATAACAAGATCATCCATTCTTTTTAATTGCAGAACCACTTACATATCATTAAGAAAATGGAATTCCTAAATAATTACATTTTTAAAAGTATTCTGCTGAGGTAATCATAGAATTACAGACTGGTTTGGGTTGGAAGGAACCTTAAAGATCATCTAGTTTCAATTCCTCTGCCACGGGCAGGGATGTTTCCCAGGTGCCCAGGGCCACATCCAACCTGACCTTGAACACTTCCAGAGATGAGGCATCCACAGCTTCTCTGGGCAACCTGTGCCAGTGCCTCACCACCCTCACAGTAAAAAATTTCTAACTAATACCTATGCTAAACCTACTCTCTTTCAGCTTGAAGCCTTTCCCCCTTGTTCTATCAATAATCTCTTTGTAAGGAAACCCTGTAACAGTGTACAAGAACAAACACTGACTACCAAGAAAAGCAGAACAACACTGAAGGCTTTTGGCAATAAGACAACTGCAGACCAAAATGCAGGACTCTGAGCATTGCCAATTAATACAAATATATTTAATGAAAAGCAGAAAGAAATGAAGAAAGATAAGATTTTCTGGACTACAACTTCTAAACATAAATTGTTGTCTAAAAAAAAGCATGCTGAATATGGCATATTATAACAGATAGGAAAACCAACTGAACTGAGTTACAATCAATTTTTGAAATAACAGAAACATAAATAAAAAAGCAACAGTATCATGATACTTATCAGACCTCTGTTTTGTTAATGAGGAGTAAAGGATTTCTGCAAAATAGGTTGTTAATGTAAAATCCATAACTCTGCCTAGATTTCAGATAGCTGCTTCTGGAATGATAGTCCCTGGTCTGTTCCTAGCATTGCCAAGAATACGAGAATATGAACTGTATCCAGAGTGCAGAAAATAAAAACAAAGTAGGTTTTTCGGTTTGGTTTTTGGGGTTTTCTAGTGAACAAAATCTTTCAGAAATGGACTTGAATTGTAGGCTTTGCAGGCGAAAATTTCAAAGTACTTTTGGAACCCAATGAGCAATATGAACACAGTTAAGAGGAAAAAAAACAAATAAATTCACTGCTCCAAATAGAGTCCACAACTTCTAAATTAGGGCTCTGAATATTAAGTTCAAAGTATATCAAATTAGATACTTCGAGCCACAGAAAACCAAAACCTGTTGCTGTCTTTTTATATATTATTTTATTACTTCAAAGGCTTAATTGTAACTGAAGCGCTTTGTGCATGCCCTTCTGTTCTGTTCTGATTTGAACAGAAGTCAAAGAATGGTTTGGGTTGGCAAAGATCATCTAGTTTCAAATCCCTGCCATGGGCTGGGACACCTTCCATTAGACCAGGTTGCTCAAAGCCCCATCCAGCCTGTCCTTGAACACTTCCAGGGATGGGACATCCACAACATCAATAGGTGCCTTGGCAGAACAGAATCAGTATCATGTGCCTTACTTAACCAATCACAATTGTTTTATGGATATAATTCCTCAATTGCAGACTGAAGATTTCAAAACCATATTTCTTGAATATGTTTGAATACCAGCTGACTCTCAGAAAACCACCGTTTGTTAATTACTACAATATTAGCAGAAAAAGGAGATGCAATTTTCAAGAACATCATTAAAAAATGCATTGTCCATGTGTTAGTAACAAAACACATCAGGAAATTAATTTGCATAAACTGCACATACATTGAGCACAGGATGGGAAGCCACAAATATTTTCAGACTAAATTTTCATAACGAAGAAAGGCAGGACAGAAAAACTTTAAAAACACAGTACTTCAGGGATGTTCCCCCCTCCTCCCCCAGAGATTTACCCCACATTTACAAGTGAAGGGAAATTATTTCTGCACCACTTCAAAGAACCTACAGCAGAATATGATGAGTGCCTGTCTGGGAAATGACCTGTCTTGGGCTGTGTGTCCCCTTTGTCATATGAATTCTTGGGTCTCAATTTTCTTCTTTTTTTGGTCCCATCTGCTGGCTGGAGGCTCCTGGGACACACACACACACACACACACACACACAAACCAAACCTCATAGCAGAAGTCACCCAAACTCAAATGCATTTGTTCCCCGAATGTAAATATGGGGGGAAATACAAAAGGCAAACAGATAACTTGAAAGGTTTATATGAACGTTCATTCTGTACTCATAAAAAGGAATGCCACAGCAGCATGGACACTT